TTTAAAATCAACAGGGGATCTTAAGTTCACCTGAAGAACAGGCAGAGAGGATTTCAGTTAATAATATAGTAATGATCCTTGCATTTGATATAGCGCAGTTTAGACATCTTCTAGATGTCTCAAAGCGCTTCACAGAATAGACTGTAAAGTGAATTGAATGTATATTTGTGGATGAAATGCGACAGCCAATTGTGCACAGCAGCGTCCCACAAACAGTCGTGGATTGAAATGACCAATTTATTATTGTTCTTTTTGAGGGATTATTATCAGGCGTGTGGAGTAAGGAAACTTGCCCAAGGTTTCACCCTGACCTGCCGGGAATCAAACCCAAGTCTCTCGCTTGCAAAGCGAGTGCTCTAACCACTGAGCTACAGGACTCCAGTTGAGCATCTCATTTGAAGTTTGACACCTCCAATAATGTAGCATTCCACCAGTACTGCACTGGAGAGTCAGGTTAGACAGTAAACTGAAATCTCCATGTGAAACTTGAACCCACAATCTTCCGACCCAGAGGTGAGATTGATACCAATTGAGTCAAACTATATAAACTAATTGGAATGCCAGCTGTCCAGTGGATATATAACATTAAGGGTAAGCTATATTTTGAAAGAACAGCTGACCTTGCAATTGGATGCATGTATTGTACAAGAGAATTTTTGTAAATGATGATCATCAAACAGAATAGACTGACTGTTAGCACTTTAGCTGAACTTAAGTACTGACTTCATTTTGTTAACAAATTGCGTTTTTTTTTAGAGATATTATTTTTATGCTGGTTCCTTTCTTGCCCTGAACATGTTTTCTGTAAACTTTGCTCCTCTTGTCTGATGATGGACCAAGTGAGCAAACAGTTGGGCAATTTCCTGCACAGCTCAACTCTTTACGCTTCTGAATTTGGCAGTAAAAGGCATGAAGTGCAGAGGCAAACGGAACCAAGAATGTGCAATATTTCTGTGTTGTATTTCAATACAGCATTACCTTTTATATGCAGAAAAGTGACTTTCCTCTTCAACCGGGTGTTTGGCCATCGTCCAACCCTCCTGATCTCAAGCCCCCCCGCTTGGGTCAAATTTCTGACTGTCCAACACTTTGGGAGGTCCTCCTGACGTGAAAAGCGCTATACAAATGTAATAAATTTTTGGTTCCAATGCAACACTGGATTTACCTACTTCCTTGCAACCTTTACTGTTATGTCGTGTAACACTTTAGATGCTACTTTCTTGGTACAACATATAGCAACTGCTTTGTGTCCTGTTTCGCTGCTGGAAAGGGGCGTCCTGCCTGAAGTTTCTACAGATTTTTTTCTGTCTGCTAAAAATTCTTACTGATCCTTTTTCTGTGTCTAGAATTTGTCATTTGCAATGTAGTCTGATTGGACAGGGATCAGCTATTCCCCAGCTATTACTGTATGTCTTAAGTGGATCTCTGCTCATATTGTAGCTATGGTAACACATTTTTAAAAGGTGCTGTGTGTCAGTCATTTCCTGTATGACCCTTCTGTCCAGATTTGTGCCTTTTCAAAATGAAAGCAAGCTTTGCTCGTAGTAAACTTCACTGCGCCAGCCAAATCCAATTACCGTGTTTAAAATATCCTCATAAACCAAACTACACAGAGCTTTCACAAAAGTAGGGCACACTAGGCGTGCGCTGGTCACCCTGCTTATAAAACTGCTAGATTGTGCTCTCTGTTGCCATGGCATTGACTAAAACCTCAAACTTTAGCTGCCGATAGAAGATTGCTGAGTTGTTTGTTGTCTGGAAGGTCACTGATAGTCTGCATGCGTGAGCTGTTCTGCACGGATAATAATCCTTGGCTAAAACGTCTCAAAGCGCTTTACAGGTAATTGCTGCAAAGTGTAGAGACTTGTATTTGTAGATGAACGTATCAAGTAATTTGTATAAAGCCTGAAGTTAAATGAAAAAAAACTATTTTTGACCAGGACTGCTCTTTTCGAATAGTGTCACAGGATCTTTAACATCCACCTAAACAGGGGGAAAGGACTTCAGTTTTGCATCTCATCTGAAGAATGCCACGGCATCACTCCCTCAGCACTGCTGGAATATCAGCCTTGATTGTGATTTTAAAGTGCTAAAATAATAATGATAATAATAATAATAATAATCCTTGCATTTGATATAGCGCTTTTCACATCGGGAGGACGTCCCAAAGCGCTTCACAGAACACACTGTAAAGTGAATTGACTGTATATTTGTGGGCGAACGCGGCAGCCAATTGCGCACAGCAATGTCCCACAAACAGTCGTAGATTGAAAATGACCAATTTATTATTGTTTTTTGTTTTTGGAGGGATTATTATTAGGCTCTGTGTGGAGTAAGGAAACTTGCCCAAGGTTTCACCCTCTGCCTGGAATTGAACTCAGGTCTCTCGCTTGCAAAGCGAGTGCTCTAACCACTGAGCTACAGGACTCCACTTGCAAATGATAATCCTTGCATTTGATATAGCGCCTTATCACGTCTTTGAGATGTCTCAAAGCGCTTCACAGAATATACTGTAAAGTGACAGTATATTTTGTGGGAGAAACGCAGCAGCCAATTGCACACAGCAGTGTCCCACAAACAGCCATGGATTGAGTGACCAATTTATTATTATCATTGTTTTTTTGAAGGAATTGTTACCCCGGAAAAGTGATCCACCAATCGACTAACAACCGGCTTTCTACTTACTGTTAGATAAACAGAGGCGTGTGGAGTAAGGAAACTTGCTCAACGTTCCGCCCTGCCGGAAATCGACCTGGGTCTCTCGCGAGTGCTCTAACCACTGAACTATAGGACTCCATAAACTGGGTCTTAAACTCACAGCTTTCTGACTCAGAGGTGAGAATGCCACCAACTGAACCAGCCTGACGCCTGTGACTACTGCTCTGAGATTTAAAATGTCTTGCGAAGTGTTGACAACTAAATCCAGAAGCGTATGGACTTTTAAAAAGAAGGATTTGCTCTATGTAAAATCTTCAGTTTCCCAAAATAATTAGTTTTTTTTTAAAGTTGTGACTGCATAACCTCATGTTTGGCTGCTCTCAACCAAAAGTAGTTTAATTGTCCGTTTCCCATGCACTTAGGACTGTCTGGCTGATTGGGTACCAGGGAAGGCAAGCATCATTGTCTAAAAATATTTTTTGCAGTCCGAACGTTATCTTCCACAGATTTTTTGTCCCGTTCCTCCTCATTGCTTTCTTGTCTCATACAATATTCATACCCGAGGGGCACACAGAAACCTGTTCCAATGCCTAGGCCATCGATTCTGTCAGCGACTGCTTACAGGTGTGTGTGAGATTGGTCCAGAGCAGCACTTCTTTACAGATTTCCCCTGCCTCTCTTGTATCCTGAGAGAGTTGGGTGGAAGGTCATATTTTTGGAGAATGCAATGGTAAACCCAGTCAAAACATATGGGTAAATGAATCACTATATTACCATTAAAATGTGTTTAGTGCTGGAGAAAATGGGTAGCGTGAAATTAATGAACTTGTCTCCACAATTTATTATCCCCTTCCCCATTTTCAAAATGCTTTGTTGCTATTGAAATTTGGCTTCGTACCTTTATAATTGCCTGGAGCCACAAATGGCTTTCAACATACTGATGATCATTATTTCACTTGTCATTTGGTGGAATCTGGTGGGCATTGTGATGTTTGCTGCTTATCCCAATTAATGCTTAGCCACAGGAGTGCCTCTGAGCAGGTAACCTGTGTTACATGCAGATAAGGAGCTAATAATATTTTCTTGATACAGTGTTATTGTACTAAGTCTGGCTCCATTCATGGTGTTGGCCAGTGATGTTAATAGAAGTTTAACCCAAATCTCAATTGCAACTGTCAAATTCAGGGGAAGTGAATAACAGAATGTAAAGGAAACTTGGTCAATTTGCTGAAGTCTCCTGTGATAGTTTTAGGCATTTTAAAAAAATGTTTCTTGCACAGAAAATGTTTTAATTTCTCTTTAAATACTTTTTTTCTCTAAAAATCTAGAATGTGGCACTGGGAATTTTGCTTTTCTCCCAGTGGGCTGAATAATTGCCATGATCATCATTAGCAAGCATATCTGTACATTTTCAGTAATGACATTGATTCTTTGATTGAATTAATTACTTTGGCACCATTGATATTTTCATTGTTTCACAGTTCAGAATCTTGTAGTCATCAGGTAGTCTCTGAGACCTGGAAGATGTAGTCCAATTCACATCTCACAGGTCTGCCTGCCTTGAGATTCAGGTGGACATGAAGGACCTGCTTTGCTGTTTCTACTGCAAAGAAATATGGCAAATTTCTTCAGGTTTACCTGTTATATTCTTATTGCCCTCCTCATCCAAATTTACCCCCAAATTCAAATACTCGAACACCGGGAGAAACTCCCTTCTCTTTCTGAATAGTGCAGCGGGATCTTTAACGTCCACCAGAACTGGTAGACAGGGCTTCGGTTTAACATCTCATCCAAAGGATGACACCTCCAACTATGCAGCACACCCCAGCACTGCTTTGGAGTTTTAGCTTAGACTGTTGATTCCAAGTCCCAATTGAACATTTCTGCTGCAGATTAGCTGCTGTGATTGTTTTCATAAAATTTACTTGAATTATTTTTTGTGAAACATCAAGGTGGCCAAAAGTTTTTATATAAAAAAATTGTGAAGCAGTTGAAGACTTTTTTTTAAGTGAAAGGCGCTATATAAATGAAGGTTGTTTTTTAGGAATTGAAGGCGGGTACTTTACAAAGCTATTCAATTGAGCTTTACAGGAGGAGCGCTGCCGAGTGCATTTTCATTAGAGAAAAAGATAATGGTGGAGAACTGAACATCCCATTCTGATGTTAGTCGCTGATGACAATGTTCCACACCAGTGAAAACTAGCATTCAGTATATCTTATCGACACTGTGCACAATATTGTGAGATAATAATACTCACTGCACAATATTGTAGACTGTAAGATCCTAATGAAGCATGGAACTAGAAAGGCCATTTGGTCCATTAAGCCTGTTCTTTCTGCAGATCATTTGGAAGTCGCCCTGTCATGGATTCGACCGAATTTACTCAATCTCCCAAGGGAGCCAAACCAATAACAGACAACTTTTTCAAGATGCAATTTCCTTCCAATCCCTGAAGGTACGATCAAAACAGCAGAATATATTATACAGCTATATACTTCCAAGCTATTTATTGCCCAGTTGTATTACATAGATGATGACACTTTGATTCTAGGAAGAATTGTGTTCCACAGAGAATTTCATCCAGGCTGATCCTCTGAGTTAGAGGTGCCATCCTTCAGATGAGATGTGAAAGCATCTTACTCCACACTTCCTTACTCCACACAGAGCCTAATAATAATCCCTCCAAAACCAAAAACAATAATAAATTGGTCATTTTCAATCTACGACTGTTTGTGGGACATTGCTGTGCGCAATTGGCTGCCGCGTTCGCCCACAAATATACAGTCAATTCACTTTACAGTGTCTTCTGTGAAGCGCTTTGGGACGTCCTCCCGACGTGAAAAGTGCTATATCAAATGCAAGGATTGTTATTATTATTATTATTATTATTAAGTGTCATGTCTACCTGTTTTGGTGGATACTAAAGGTCCCATGTTTGAAAAGAGAAGAGAATTTCTCTACGAGTCCAAACCAGCAATCCTTCAGATAAAATGGTCATTTATGCACGGCCGCTTGTGGGACATTACTGTACAAATTAGCTTCTTGATTCGCCTACAAATGTCACTATTCTTTACAGCAAGTTCCTGTGAGATGCTTTGAACCTTATAGGTGCTGTATCAAATGCAAGGATTATAATTTTATTTGTTCGCATTGTTGAACTCTTCAATCCTGAGTCACAAAATTCCACCTAGCTTTTAGTTTGCAAGATTATTTTCTTAATTTCTTAATTAAAAAAATTTAAGATTGTACAAAATTCTATTTTCGCACAGAAAATATAGTCAATTCACTTTACAGTATATTCTGTGAAGCGCTTTGAGATGTCTCAAACATATGATGAGGTGTTATATCAAATGGAAGGATTATTATTAAAATACTTACATGTAGTTGCTTTGTGAACCTGATCCAAGTTAAGACTGAACTGAAGAATTTTCTACAATTTTCTGCTGTTTTAAATTTTTAGGCAAAATGACCTGACAAGCTGAAACTATGTGGGATTTGAAGCCTCTGATAACAAACCAGTGCTATCCAGATCTTTCTTCAATAATTAAAAGTGAATTGACAGCATTTTCTGCAGGTCCCTGTACAGTGGTAAGGAAATATGTCTTCTGATCTCTCACTTGAGGCTTGATCATTTTGAGACTATTCCCTCTTAAGTTTTAAGTTAAATAGTTTTCTTATGTCTACATTTTCTGTCCCTCTTGTTATTTTAAAGACCTGCATCACGTCCCTCCATGATCTTTTTTCCATTGAAAATGTGTTCCGTTCTATGAGTTTCTATTCAGAACTGTCAGATCCTGCAATCAACTGGTTTTTCTTTGGCCTTTGTATTTGTGTTCTGGGATGCGTCTCAAGTGAGATAGTATTGAGGTCACATGATCTGAGTCTTTACATTGCTGAAAGATGTGGATAATGTTATTAAGCCAATTAATCAGACTGAGCACATAGTATACAATAGGCAGACTTCAAAGCAAACTTGCAGAGGCTGATTGGTGGCAGCTTAATAACCTGACCTCTGGACCTAGTCCTAGTGGAATGACCTAGTCATTCCAGAACTATTGAGTCATGAAAATCTCACTGTAAAATCTTATCATTTAGGTTGCAAACTGGATTGTTGCTGGAGTGATACCGTGGGATTTGTTTCATTCACATTCGTGGGATAAGATTTTTGAAAGCCTTTATCCGGTGATTCACCTCCCTCAGGAGATAAAAGGCGCTTGTGAAGAATCCATGCTAATATTGCAGAAGGTCAGACAGAGAGCAGGCGTGATGGGTCAAATGGTTTTTCATTGCGTTTTTAAATGGAAATTTTCAATAATGTTTCAAATTCAGCTTTTAATGTGCGTCATTCTGTCGCTGTTCATACATGAATTATTGATGAAACAGTCCTGTGGTGGCAACTCCACACGTTAGGCCCATATTGTCTTGGTAACACAGGAAAAACGAATTGTAGGGATTTGTCAGTGAGTGCAGAGAAAATGAGTCCTGACTGGTGGCTTGTAGTAAGAAAGAGGTGGCAATATGAGGGAGAGGCCGTGTTGAACAAATTAGATGGTGGTGGGCGGGGGACGATGTGATTGGAGGGGAGCAATGAAAGGGCTGGGATAGGAGTCACTGAGATGAATGATTTCATAAATGGTGTAATAATAATCCTTGCATTTGATATGACCTTATCACGTCTTTGAGATGTCTCAAAGTGCTTCACAGAACACACTGTAAAGTGAATTGATTCCATATTTTGTGGAAGAAATGTTTTTTTTTAAAAAAAGTGGTGACTGACAGTGGAAATGAAGATTGGAAGAGCTATGAAAGGCTATGCAAACGGGGATGAGAATTGATACTTATTTTTCAAAGTTTCTAAAATATGGTTTCTGGGCAAAAGCAATACACCTAGTGATTCAACTCTGTTTGTGTAACATCCGTTACAAATAAACTGGGAGCAGAGCACCTGGTGATCATGAGTGAGCTGTTTATTTAAAAGTGAGGCCGAGAAGTACCCATTGTGAATGAAATATTGTAATTGAGTAGCACTGATTTTTACTTCTTGTAAGACAAAACCTCTCAACTTCAGAGTGTAAAAATGCTTGACATGTCCAAGAGTTGGACATTCTACACCAAGAGTACAACTTTGAACTTAATAAGAGGATTGACTTCAGGTCAGAGTCGCCGTAGATTAGTGGAAAATGGTACCTATGTCTATGCTTTGGGGTATCCTCCTATCGTAAAAGGCGCTATGTAAATTGTATTGTAATACACTTCTATGAAGAGTGTTGCAAACTGATTGTTGTTTGCTTCTAGTCACCACACCCACAGCCTAAATATCTTCTTCAAACTTTTAATATTTCAGTGCGGCCGCATTACGGCACACTTCTTCATTGCACAAATTCAATTATAATGCAGTGAGGATCCCATTCACTGCACATTCATGTAACTGAGACCTAGGTCATTAAGCTACCACCAATGACGCTTGCTGGCCATGTGCACGGAGAAACAAGCTATCACGTGTTGTTTCTAAAGCAGTTTGGGATTTTATGGATTCAATTACTGGGTTATAATGAGGCTCCACTGTATGCATTTTTTATAAGTTATGAGTGGCCGATGTTATAGTGCATGTCACTTTACAGCACTGGTGTACTGTATATTGGTATATCATATATATTGCTATATATATATGATAGGTGTATTGGGACATCCTCCTGACATGAAGGACGCTTTTCAAATGTAATTTGTCGTTAAGTTGTTGTTAAATTACGTATACTCCATACTTACTCCACACACACACGCGCCTCTTTTTACCTATAATTAGGAATCTGCTTGTTAGTCGATTGGCAGATCTTTTTCTGGAGGTAAAAACTATAATATTCCTTGCATTTGAGATTGCGCTTTTTCCATCTTTTAGACGTCTCAAGGCACTTCATAAAATATACTGTAATGTGAATTGACTGTATATTTGTGGCAAATTGCAGCAGCCAATTGCACACAGCAGTGTCCCACAAACAGTTGTGACCAAATTATTATTTCTTTTATCCGCGGAAAAGCGATCCGCCACTTGATAACAACCAAGCTTCTACTTACTGCTAGGTAAATAGAGGCATGTGGAGTAAGGAAACTTGCCCACCATTTTGCCCTGCTGGAAAAAATTACTCCTGAGCTGATAAATAAAAAATAATTGGGTCACTCAATTCGGGACTGTTTGTGGCACTCTGCTGTGTGCAATTTGTTTCGCCCACAAATATACAGTCAATTCACTTTACAGTATATTCTGTAAAGCGCTTTGAGACGTCAGAAAACGTGAAAAGCGCTATATCAAATGCAAGGATTATTATTAATTGGCTACCGCATTTCGCCCACAAACTACACATGTATTTTAAAGTAGCGTAAAGTAGTTTGAAGTATTTTGAGACGTCTCAAAGGCGTGATAAGGCGCCACATCAAATGGATTATTATTATGGTTATTCTTATTGCGATCTGCTGAAAGTGTATCAGTTTTCGGTATACATATTCATCGCATCTAGCTCGACTATGCCAACTTGTCGGCCTTCCCAACGCTTCCCTCCACAAGCTGCAGATCATCCAGAAGTCTGCAGTTCATGTCCTCTCCCGCACTAGGCTCTGTGACCCCCACCACCCCCACCCTCGCCCAGCTCCACTAGCTCCCCGTCCCCCAGAGGATAGAGTTCAAAATCCTCATCCTCGCCTTCAAGGCCCTCCACGGCCTTGCCCCTCCCTACCTCTGCAACCTGCTGACCCAATATCAACATGTCCCCTCCCTCCGCTCAGCAGACTCTATCTCGCCTGCTCCACTTCCCCCCCCAGCCTGCCTCACCACTGCAGATCGAGCCTTCAGCTTTTCTGCCCCCACCCTATGGAACTCCATCCCATATACCTTGGCCTCGCACCAAGGCCAAGGTATATGTCTCAAAACCGTCCTCTTTGACTGAACCTTTAGCCACCCTCCTATCCTCACTGCCCTCCACCTTCCCCGATCCCGACTCCTAACTCAAGACCAAATTCTTGACTGTCGACCACCTTGGGATGGCCTCAGGATGTGATAACGCTATAGAAATGTGATTTTGTGTTGTAACTCGCTGCCTTCCTGTGCATATTGCGAGTATTCACCTTGTGAAGGATGCACCACTGACACACCTGGAGAAAGTGTGAATTTAAAAAGAGTGAAATAGATGCATTTTTCAAGCATAGCTTTAAGGAAAATTGTATATCTTTCCTGAACATTTTGTATTTTGTCATAAATATTTTGTGTAATGTTTCAGCTCTGTTATGATTTTGAACAGATGTGCTTGATCTGTGGCACGTTATCAGCAATCGTGAATTCGTAGAGGTTTAATATGTAAAGATCAAGTTTAAATCCGCAGTAATGTAAAACCTGCTGCGTATAGACTTTTTAGTTCAGTGGCATCTGCTGTCATGCGGAAGCTTTCCTGTTGCTAAGCAACTCTATAGGAGGAGGATTGTTGGCTTTTCTGCTGGTGGGAAGCAGCACTTTTAACACAATTGACATTGAATGAGAACGGAGTCATCCAAGGTTTTAGAATGAACTCAGGTCCGAGTATGTACACCTCGTCTTTACTCCCTTCTCTGACTGGCTGCTATTTTGTGTATGTATATGGGGTGGGGGGGTGGTATTGTCGACAGTGGGAGTGAGGATCTGAAGGAATAGTAAACGACAGAGGTGTATGTGCGAGCCCTTACGGACGTGCTGGGAAGATTAACTGTGCTGAGGACACTTTCGAATGGCAAGTGGTTCATCAGTCAGTTATTGAACCTGTTATTTCCTTTAGCAAGCAACTGTGCAAGCATCAGTGAGTGATTGAGAAGCACTCCAGCACCTACTTCTATGTAAGTCATGAGGTTTTCTGTCCTAGTGTTCTTCACTGTATTTAAGAACAGGATAAGTGGCAGTGAGTAAATTAAGCTTGAATTAAATTACAATACAGTGATGTTTTTTCTTTTGTCAGTTTTCTCCCTTTCTTTGAAAGCATTTGACTTTGGTCCTTCCCTCCTTTCACCCCCCATCCTTTTAATGGAATATGGTTCACTGAAACAGTTGTCCACCAGTTCCTTGCGATAGTGGCTTCTTAATGAGTGAGTTTGTCAGTGATGGGTCATCACAGTAGAACTCACACATCGTCCAGACCTTCAACAAGGCCTATTGAGTAACTAATTTTGAGCAGGAGCCTGGGTAATTACACCCCCCCACCACCTAACTCAGAACTTCATATCAGTTCTTGTTTATTCTAAAATTTACTAATTTCTGACCCGCCCTCACTCTTGGCTGAGATCAGCCAGAACAGCCCAGACCAAGAGTTGAACTTGAGACCTTCCCTAATCTATATGGCTATTCAATAATATCGCAGAACTATCAGAAAGTACTATAGTTATTATTTACCACATATATAACCTGCTGCATTGTGGATTAGCAGAATGTCTATGTGTCTCTTTCTCTCTCTCGCTCTCTCTCTGTGTGCCTTAAACTATCGGTTTTGTTTGCTGTCTCCCTTTAATCTTGTATTTACCTGAATCAGATCATTCTACCTCACTCACACTGCTCATGAATAATCATGTACCTGGTA